CCCGACTTACTGCAACTACAGGAAGTGACTTAATGTTGTGCTGAAAAGGTTTTCGGCGGGGAAAGGGGGCGGGGGAAGCTCCTGTTTTTCCAGTCTCCTTGGCATACTTAAGGAAAGCTTTGCCTGCAAACAGTGTAAGTGCTTTCATGGCGATCCGTCTTGCTTTTGGCTACCGCAGGACATCCCGAGCTACAACTGGGAGGAGGACGCTGCTCAGAAGACCCTGCCATCCCCGGTTCGGGAAAAGAATAGGATGGAGTCACAGGCACAGGCACGCACATGTCAGAGCAGCAGCAGTGGGGCCGACCAGGTCACCTTAGTACCTCGGTTCTGCAGTGTAGACAGACACAAACAACCCCCCCAGACCACATGTTTCTGCTGAAAGACCAGAGTGTCAGTATGGTGTGGTATTTACTTACAGATACACCCAAAATAGCCGTCTAAATACCACTGGAAGCAAAAATACATGCATACAAAAACACTTCAGACACATGAGGACACACAGCTCTGTTCTGTCCAGTAGGACTGCCTCAATGTCAGGCAGGGAAAAAAATCTCCAGGAATCCCACTGCCACGGAGACTATGACAGCATATTCTCTAAATTTATTCTCTAAATTTCTTCTCTTTCTCCCTGAAGTCGGTACTCTGTTCCCAGATTCTCATGCTGGCTCCATTCGCTGCAGACAAACAACTCTCCACACCCCACAGCTCCACACCCTAGGCTGGTCCTGCCTGCACCCTAGGTTTGTGCCCACTCTCTCCTTGTCCCTCATTGCCTGTACCCTTCTGGATTCTTTTTGCCTTCTTCTCCTGATATTTTGGATTTCCCAACCATTTTCTCGACTTACGTCCCTTTGCTTACACTACCAATTATAGACCAAAATCTGGTTATACTCTCACCCCTCATTTCAGGTTTGGTTCTAGTCATTTTACCCAGCCCATGGAAATCCAAGCTCCATCAGTTTTACCTGTTGTCCCATTTTCCCCGGTTCCTTTCCTTTGCTTGTCTTGATCCTTGTCTTCCTAGCCAGCAACATCTCTGATTTTCCCATCACTACACCAGTGAGGTCAAACAGTTTCTCTAAACTGTCCTTGAGCACAACACCTAAGTGCTGGATGGGGAGGGGAGAACAGACCCTTCCTCTGTGAAGGGCCTAGGACTTAAGAATTAGTGCATCCTTGGAAAAATGTCCATAGAACTAAAAGACAAAATCTCATGTTCCGTCATGGGAGTCAAACTGGGATCTGCTACGTATTTTGTTCTTCATGGAATTAAGATTGCTCAACAGAAACCCATAAAAGATAAATAGTAATAAAGAAATAACCACGCTGACACTAAATCCCTCACTGCACATCTGCACAACACGTGCAGACAGCTCAGTGTCTTCACAATGGAATCTGTCTGGTCCTCGGCTGAAGCTGGCAGCACCGCCAGGATGCAGTTTGTATGTGGCATAAGCACAAGATGGTGTGTGGAGCTGAGTGCCTACTGCTTCTCCTTAAAACAACACAGTGAGCATTCCACCAATGTGATCCCAGTATTGCCAGTTGATCCCTGGAGACAGTTCTTGATTCCTTAAGACAAAAGAGGATCAGGCATGCAGTCCACTACCACAGCAAAACACTGGTGCAGTGTGCAGGAGCTGTGCCAAGCCTTTGTGCATTTTGTTGTCTCAGAGAAAGGGCCAAAGTGGGTGTGCCTGTTAAACGTGAAACAAAGCAAAACGGATGGCTGTGTTGAAGCAATAAAAATGGTTTTGTTGATTCAAAAAGGGGAAAAAGCTAATAAAAATGAAATTAATAAACACCTGGTAAGGGTGCAGCCCTTTTCAGCCCTTAGGTCGTGGATGAACCATGGATACACTTACTTCCTCGCTGTGGTGGGTGAGTATCAAATGCTGCTCCAGCAGGTTCCCCAGATCAACCTCAGAGGAAGCAGTGTCCCAAAGACCTCAAGTGAGCCAAAGATTCCTATGCCCACACACAGAGAAATATTGCAGCAAATACCACACAGTACAAACACTCTTGTTAGGCTCTTTGTCTCATCCTTCGCCAGTTGATCATGGACACTGCTAAACTTAGAACTATTCCCTAGCCTCTGTAGTATATCAGGCAAATATCAATCACATGTGCAGATGCACAAACACATACACTTTTGTCTGTACAAATGTTGTAGACACTCTTCTTTTCATAGAAGAGGAAGGTTGGAAAAGACCTTTAAGATCATCAAGTCCAAATGCAATCAGTGAGACACAAACACATCATGTTTTAAAGCCAGTACCAGCGAAGCAGAACACTCTGTGAAGCATAGAGACCTCGTTGTGGTACTGTCATTATTAATGCATTTCTCCAGAAGTACACAAAGACTTCATTTCCCTCTCCCTGCTACAGGATAACCATGGGCAGGACACAAGTAGCATTTAAAAAATGTACTCTTCAATTCTCACTTTCTGTACTGCTGGGACTGACTCTGTCCAAACATCCCAGTCTTGCCAACTTCTATTAAATTATATCCTATCCAAAGCACTACACAAGAACATCAGTATATTAAAATATTGAGTCAGCTCTACCTGAGTCCACACTAATCATGCCCGTTTTCAGACCAGGAGAACTGGAAAAAGAATAGAATATTTAGTTTCTGTGCTACAGGACTTCTCAGGAAGACAAAAGCAAGGCCACACATTGAGTTTTGGTTCTGCAAGCTAGAAAACCTTTATTGTACAGCTACCTTGGAGAGTCCAAGAAGAGCAAAGAGAAGAAACTGAAGATGTTTTTCAAACACTGAAAGTCTGGGGTGCCTTGAAAAGTACAGCTATCACATGTTATGCCTGCTCTCCCTATCTGGTTATGATATCTGCTCTAATGCATTTTTATCATGGATCTGACTGCTCTAAAAGTAGTCTTTTTCATTGAAATGTTGTTATGAATAACCATCTCCTTCCAGAGTTATGGTGTAATTCATACAGAATGTGGCAAATGAAAAAATACAGAGGCAACAGTTGGCATAAATGGAGTCAAATCACTATTTTTATATGCTCAACTTCATTTTGAAAGCTCATCTGGGGCGGGAAAAGGATTAAAAAAAAAAAAAAGAAGTTATTTGATCAAAAGACTTTTTAATTCCTTACTACAACAGAGACTAAATTGGTGAATTTTCCCCTTCTCCCCCCGCCTCCAAAATACTACCTTTGTTCTTCTTCACTTTACCATATATAAATATTGGCCTCACTTTCTGAAAAGATTCAAAACTCATGAGGCCAAGCACTTTAAAAAAAAGAAAAAAAAAGCAAAACTGATTATTTGACCATTTTTCTTTCAGTTACCTTTTCAAGTGTTGGGATTTGAATATAAGTTAAACAAAACAACCACAATAAAGCCTCTTGGAAAATAGACCTTATTTTATGGACACTCATTTTATCAGTTTTCTCTTGGCTAGCAATATTCAAAAGATGCCATGAAACTACTTGCTCCCCAACAATCTAGGTCTCTGTTATTTTCAAAAGTGCTGGTGGGGAAAAGTCCAAAAACAGATGACCTAAAAGATTTTTTTTTTAATTCGAAGAACCTAGAGAGAAAAACTTACAGAAACAAGTAATTTCTGTACTTTCCCAGACACACCAAGAGCATGAGGTGTTGTATTTTTCTCTTTACAGTTAAATCACAAAGTGGTAGCATGTGAGTACAGGTGTGAAGTACACACTGCCCCAGCTGGCTGCTCATCTTCTGCAAGGAGGAAAGGCACCACAGCACAGAAGT